CTGAGCCAAGAACATTTTCTTTCCTTTCTATATGCCAAGACAAGCTCCACACACATTTTACCCTGCAACCTCCCTGCTTTCCTCGCCCTCTTTCTCACTTACGTTAACTGCCCTCTCCTCAAGATCACAGTAAATCTTCCTAAAATCAGGTGATATTCTAGATATACAAAAGAGAATATGTGGAGTCTTCTGGACTTCATTTATAAATCCCTCATTTATTTGGGAAAATCTCTGCTGTTGTTGACCATTGCATTCTGCTATGGCCATTCCTACTTACAACAGCAGCTGCCTTGGGCTTGCCTCTTATCTCTCCTTCAGCCAGCTTTTCTAGCTGTTTGCCTTCAAGGCTTTGCCAGAGTTGCCTCCCAATCTGATCCATTTTCCTTCTTTAACAAAACAAAGCAACCAGACCTCTGGCTTTCCCTGACTTGAAGAAGACAGAACCCTCAAGTCCTTTTGTACCCCTCCCATTCTTGACTCATTTTTCTCTTCTATCATATCTATCTATATCTATCTTCTCTTCTTACATTATCTTACATCTTACATCTCAGCTCCACAGAATGGGTGGAAGCAGTGGCTGACACAGGCCAAATTCAATTTTCCCAATTTTTTGTTATCTTTTAAAAAGCAAATTTAAAAAATTATGAAAATCTTGATTACTGGCTTCCGCTCAGAAACTATGGTAGTGCTGCTGTCTCCACGGTTTTAAAGCGGGGGTGGTAGTTCCATCATGGCGGCCGCTTTTGATAGCGTGGACGCTCTCCAGCCTTCCAAAGCTCTGTCTGTGTCCTTTAGCATCACCAACAGTGAGATAAAGTGTCACTTTCTGCTTATCACCACTTTATGCTTTGTGTTTAAGAGAGATTTTGATCTAAGCACTCAGGAAGCAGAGGCCAGAGGATTGTGAATTTGGGATCAGCCTGGGCTAGAGGAAAGTTCAGGCAAGAGTGAAATAGAGAGTAAGATTTCTTCCCTAAAACATAACAGAAATAAAAAACAAACCAACAGAGAGTGTGTGGGGTTATACTACATTGCTATAGATAAATAAGACATGGGCTGGTGTTATTTTATACATAAAAAGGCATTTGAGCAGGAGGGGCAGACGTTATTCTAGTATTACCCTCTCTGGAGGCATCCTGGTTTGGATATCTAAGTGGTTTGGCATTAAGCATCTCTGTTCCGATACCGGTTTCATCCAACATTAGTTGTGCAGTTTTGGAGAAACCACTTAACCGCTCTCTGCCTCAGTTTCCACATAAGTGAACTGGAGAGAGTGAGCACCCAGCAGGGTTTTGGTGAAGATTGTCTAAGATAATCTGTGCAGAGAATGCAGCGGATTGGAACAAGCATGGGAAGTGCTATTGCTGTTATTAGTTTGTTTCCAGATTCCATGGTAGAAATGTCAGATCCATGAGAGGCATGATTTGGAGAAAAGGGCCTTTTGTTTCCTATCTGTGTCTTCCCAGACAATTTAAGCTTCCACTTGGGGATTTTTTTTTTTTTTTTCGAAACAGGGTTTCTCTGTAGCTCTGCAGCCTGTCCTGGAACTAACACTTGTGGACCAGGCTGGCCTCGAACTCACAGAGAACCGCCTGCCTCTGCCTCCCAAGTGCTGGGATTAAAGGCGTGCGCCACCACCTCCCAGCATGAGATGTTTAAAATCTTAGTAATAACAACAGCACAGTAGTATCAGTCACATCTTTGTCTCACATGCCATGGTACAGCAACAAATTTGTACTCTGTGTCTTGGGTACTGGTCCCTTACTAAGTGTCTGACAAATAAGTGGTCTTGATGTTACCACTCAGCTTTCCTGCCCCTTGCAAAGAGGATGGCACCTGGGAATCATAAAGACCCAGGGAGCTGGATAACCCATTTGCACATGATATGTGGCACCCATACTTCTCTATGGGTTTTTAAATAATTGAGATATGACTAGAAAGCTTTACAATTCACTGTTCAAGTGTAAGGTTCACACGCCTGCCTGTAACTGGCTGCAGAAGCTCCATCTAAGAGACAGGAGAAACACAGTTTCCAGGCTCTGGCTCAGGCTCATGAGACCACAGTCTCAGGCTTGGTGACTTAGGATTTACAAATTTACAAAAGAGATTCTGCCTGTCAGGGACTGGGAAATTGTGGTTGTATTGAATATGTTTATACGACACTAATCCATGTTTCTTCTCAACAGCATTGCTCTATTTCTGCACCTCCCCCCCTCCTGCCCCGGCTGTGGTATATGCATGTGTGTGTGTGTGTGTGTGTGTGTGTGTGTGTATGTATACACATGGGTGTGGGAGAGTCTGGAGGCTAGGAGTTGGTGTTGGCTACTTTCTGCTCTTCCTCTTATTTTTGAGAGAATCTCCCTGACCCTGGATCTCACAGATTCAATAAGGCTGGCTCAAGTCCACCTCTGCCTCTGCAGCCCCGGGATTATACATGTGCCACCGTGCCTGGCTTTGAAATGAATCTGGGGCTCTGAATTCAGGTGCCTATGTTTCCTCAGAAAGCCCTCTACCAACTAAGTCATTCTTCAGCTCTCAAATACCCTTTTCCAAGTGTTTGGGTGTGATCTTCTTTCTCCTCTCTTTGCCTCCTGGTCATTCTCTTCCTTCTCTTTGCATTGTAGAGGACAGATCCCAGGGCCTTAGACTAGGGGACACTGAGCTACATAGCCTTAGTCTTAGCAGATTTTACAACAGAGGGCATTTTCTTTGTTCATCTTAGTGTCCACCCCTGCAAATGACCACACATACAGCTGGGACTTAGTGCAGGATGGAAGACTAGTTCACAAGTCTTGAGGTATTTGGGCTCAGATGATCCCCTAGAACATCCTCCTCACAGAGATCTTCTGGTGCTCACTATGAGATGGTCCCTTCACACAGAATGCCAGAGTCTCCCAGGAACTTATAAGTATGCGGATTCTCATGCAAAGTCACAGATACACCAGGCCAGGATGTTGTCCAGGAAAGAAAAGTTAATAGCCAGATAACACCAATATGCTGCTCTGAACTGAAAAGGATGCTCTCTCTCTCTCTCTCTCTCTCTCTCTCTCTCTCTCTCTCTCTCTCCCCCCCCCCCCCATAAAAGCTGTGTAGTGCTCTTGAGAGTTAACTTGGGCCTTACTGTGAGCTGGGATTTGGAAGATCTGGGTTTAGCTGTGGCCTCGTCTTTTAGTCAGCCCCTGGGTAATGCTGATTAAGCCATTACCCTCTAGCTCACTGCTTTTCAATTGAGAAATCTCACTAGGGAAGGCTCTGGGAGTGCAAGTTTCTCTCTAGACATCAATTCTTCAGGAGCCACGTCTTCTATGTGCTCTGGAAGAGGACCTTTTCTCAGACTTGTCTTGGCAGCTGTTTGGTTTCATTGTACGTCTGGTGAGATGAAACAGGAAGCATGTAGAGACCCCTGCTTTCCCTGCACCTTTGTCTCTTCCTTCTTGTTTTCCTCAGATTCTGCTAATGTAGACTTTCATTTGTGAAAGTTCTGTTTACAAACTGTCGATATCTTATGGGAGACCTAGTGTCACTGTCTTGGTTACTATCCTCTTGCTGGGAAGCAGCCACATGCCCAAGACAACTTACAAAAGAAAACATTTAACTGGGGGCTTGTTGACAGCTTCAGAGGGTAGTAAAGTCCATGATCAGCATAGTGATGGCAGCAGGCAGGAAGGCATGGTGCTGCAACAGTAGCTGAGAGAAGGAGAGAGGGAGAGAGAGAGCTTGCATGAGTGCTAGGCTTTTGAAATTTCAAAGACCATTCCCAGTGACACATCTTCAACAAGGCCACACCCCAATCTTTCCTAAAACAATTCCATCAATTAGAAAGCAAGCATGCAAACATTTGAGCATATGGGGGCCATTCTCATCCAAACCACCACATTTACATTTTTGGGGGGAGGGCAAAGTTTTGAGACAGGGTTTCTCTATGTAGCCCTAGCTCTCCCGGAACTCTCCTGTAGACCAGGCTGGCCTCAAAGTCACAGAGTTCCACCGGGCTCTGCCTTCTGAGTTCTGGGATTAAATGCCATGCCACTATAACTACTGCCTGGCTTTGTTGTTTTTTTGAGACAGAATCTTTGTGGCCCTGGTTGACCTGGAACTTGCTAAGAGACCAGGCTGGCCTTGAATTTACAGTGATCTATCTGCCTCTGTCTCCCAATTGCTGATATCAAAGGTATGTGTTGCCAAGATTTGCAAACAATTGTTAATATAATAACTCTAATATAAAAAATAAAGATCTTGTGACTGGAAAACTTTCCATTTAACTGCTGTCATACTAGAGAAACTAGAGTGAAGAATTTAATGTAAGATGGGTTCTGGGTTCCTGGACTCTAAAAAGGGAACAGGTGGTCACAGCAAGGGATTGGTCATTTCCTCAATACCAAGGTGATGACACTGTAGTATAACGCCTTTGAGGATATTGGTGGACGGTCTCTAAGGTAGAAACCCTTCACCTAGACTTACCTTTCAGAGAGGATCACTCTGTCCTATTTTGTCAATGACTCTGGGAACTAATCTTATCAATTGCCCAGGAATGAAACAAGACTTGGGTTAGTGTGCTTCTGACTTTTCGTGGGATCTCAATCGAAGTTTGTCCCTAAATATTATCATATGCTTGGCTCTTCACTGGTCCGACAGTACTCTGCTTGGGTGAACTCCACGCAGCATCACACGACAGTTTTGCACTCCTGAAGTCTTTCCTCATTCTCTTATGTCCCTTTAATATAATAACTTATATTATAAACATTATGCATGCAGATTCACTTGGATTTTATTATAAGTATTCTTTTTTATTTTTTTCTGGTACTCCAACATTGAGGAAGGAAGCAAGGATATTTAGGTATATTTTCTGTTCCTATAGCCTCCTCCATTGTCTGGAAAACCACAGACTTCACTTAAAAGGCAAAGAATCCTTCATCGGGTTTTGCTTCAGCCATGTATTTACCAAGATCCTCACTTGTTCTGTGGGCTTAACTTTGTAATCTTTGATTTATGATTTACAGCTGCTGAGAACCAGAAGTAGCCGACTCCTTTGGAAGAGCATTCCCCTAGATTACTTTGCCACTGCTCTGGATCCCCTTGAACAGTGGTCCCTGAACACCGACTTTAAGAAGACTCCAAGGATGGTCGTCCAGTCTTATCAACTGCAGTTCCCCTCTGTGTTTCTTTCTTCACTTTCTTCACCCCAGTGAGGCACTCAGTAGGGGCAGCTCATAGATGAAGCAGCGGACAGCAGGTGGAAGGACTGACCTCTTAGAGTGCCAACTGTCAACAGTGTGCTGTCAGATCCAGAGAGAAGAAGAAGAAAACGAGTTACGTGGAAGGGGGAGAACAGTTTGACAGTTCTTTAGAAGCTGAGAGTGAGAAATGGTTAAATTTGGAAGAATTTACTGCAGGGCTCCTGTGTTGTCCCTACCGGGTTGTATAATCCGAGCGTTCCTGCTGGACTGTGATTCAGAGAGACTGAGTATCTCAGTGGTCCTGCTCAGCGCTTGTCCTTTAGTAAGAGACAACAACCCATTAGTCTCTATATTGTTTCTCTGCACCGTAGGTCTGCACTTTTGATCTGGAAGACATTGACTATCTTGTAGGATAAAAGTCCATGGTAAGAATAGTTCAAACCCTCTTGAACTTTTTGTCTGTAGACCAGGTGGTGACATGCTGTATTGAGTTAATTAGAGGAACAGAATCACAGGGTGGGACTGAATTCATTTGAAATATTTGATTGAAACATGACATTGCTAATTATGCAGAAGAGAGCATTATGGAACATGATTGGTACCATGAAGCACGCACTACTGGTCATATATGGCAACCTAGCAACCAGCTAAATACAGCATAGACTCTTGAGAGACTAGGAGATGTAGACATGGTTCTTTCCCCATGGAGCTTACACTTTAATGTCCCTGTCCATTTGAAAAGCATGTGTGCGGCCACAGAGATGTTCTTGAATGCAGGCCTCTAGCTGGGGAGGAGTTCCCAGTGCTGTAGTTGTGGTCAGTGGCCAAGCACCTCTAAGCCTACATTTTAAAACCAGTCTGTGAATACAGACTGCTATTCCCGAGCAAAAGTCCAGGGACGACAGGGGAAGTGCTTGAGGTTTACAGGGCTTCTGGAGTGGGAAATATGAAATGATTTGGACCAGAAAACAAGAAGGGATGGGATTCAGAACCAACTATTGCTTCTATTCTATGGGGGAAACTACAGTATGAAACACACTGGGCTGGGAAACTTTGACACCTTGGTTTTAATCCCTTCCTTCCCTTCTTCCTTCCTTCCTTTCTTGCTTCCTTCTTTCCTTGCTTCCTTTCTACCTCCTGCCCTCTCTCTCCTTCCTTCCAGCCTCTTCTTCTTCTTCTTCTTCTTCTTCTTCTTCTTCTTCTTCTTCTTCTTCTTCTTCTTCTTCTTCTTCTTCGTCTTCTTCTTCTTCTTCTTCTTCTTCTTCTTCTTCTTCTTCTTCTTCTTCTTCTTCTTCTTCTTCTAATACTAAAAAGCCATGTGACTGTAAGCAAGCCATTTCCCATTCCCTGCAGATGTCTCTTGAGTGGCTGTAAACCCCTTCTAGCTCAGAAAGTCTTACATCAGGCCCCCAGGCTACAGTGGTCAGTTTCAAAACACCCTGACTTCAGTTGCTGGATCATATATATTCAGCAGTTAGATAAACCTTTTATTTATTTTTTATGGAGGGAATATCTGTTTTATCAACTTTTATTTTTCGTTTTCGAGACAGGGTTTCTCTGTAGCTTTGGAACCTGTCCTGGAACTAGCTCTTGTAGACCAAGCTGGCCTGAATTTATAGAAATCCTCCTGCCTTTGCCTCCTAAGTGCTGGGATTAAAGGCATGTGCCATCACGCCCAGCTTTGTTTTATCAGTGTTTAAGTACTGTCGAGTTCTTCTCTAGAGTTAAGAAGATGCTAACTCTATGTCCTCCTTCACTGTTGCTTGCTGCCTTTGCTTCTGTCCTTTGTCCACACCCTATGGAGCTCATGCTCTGTACTATGGTCAGGTGTGTGTTGGGTTTGGAGATACGCAATGAACCTCACACTGATCCCAGACTCCCTTCACTTTTCCAGAGATTCTTCTTTTCCCCTTTTACCTTCTGGCATTTTCTTTAGAGGGAACCAGTTACAGTGTGCTGTGGCACCCTCTAGGTAACCACCTGCAAGCAAGTGCCTCATACTGACTAAGCAATTTTGTTGAACCCTAAGATTCATATCCAAGTAACCACTCAGACCCAGGGTTACCACAACAAGAACTTTCTGCAGGTGTAAGGAAGAGGAATCTTTTACTTCTAGGATATGTGCACACCCTCCAGCCTGTGTAGAACAATGAATATGCTACTCCCTGCAGCCCATCCTTGATCAGGTAGAGAAAATCTAAACCCAAATACTTCTCAATAAATAGATATACTCTCTATGCACTGTGTTTCTCTGTGTCATCCCCACGGCTTGTCACTTCTTAAAAAAGAATGGAAAATGCTAATCAGACAAAAATGTTGCTGTGATCTCTGACCTCATTGGGAATCCTTTTAGCAATCAACAAGTCCACTGAATACTTGTCTCTAAATCCAGGGCATATTTTATAGATACATAAAACAATGAAATTTCATGTTCAGAGCTGTTGACATATACTATTTGTTTTGAACATTTTTATTATAAGGAATGACTTAGCGTTTCAATTTAATGACTTAAGTGGTAAAATGAATCACTCTTGACTTTCAGTTTTTTTTTTCTATTCAAGTCAAGGAATAGCCAGCTCTGGTAATGTCTACATTTTCCTATGAAATAAAGGCTCTAACTGTCTGTATTTCCTTTCTTTTTTCTTTAAACTGCAACACAATTCTTTCTTTTAAATAGTTTATTTATTTTTATTTTTGTGCACTGGTGTTTTGCTTCTGTCTATATCTGTTTGAAGGTGTAGGGTCCTCTTGAACTGGAGTTACAGACAGTTGTGAACTGCCATGTGAATGCTGGGAATTGAACCCAAGTCCTCTGGAAGAGCAGCCAGTGCTCTTATCCGCTGAACCAAATCCTCAACCACTCTATTGTGTTTCTTTATGTAGGTGTTTATCACTACCAAGGATAATATTTGTCTTTTCTTCTTGTCTTCATTTTCTACCTGGCAATTATATAAAAAACAATATAAAATTCATGAAATAAACTTTTCTGATAGGAGCTAGAGAAACAAGGGGCCAAGATAAACAAATTAAATGAAAGAAAACAACTTAAGTAATTATAAAATATTCAAATATCATTTTTAATTCATGTCTATTGTACCGTTTTTGTTTTGTTTTGATAATTTTTTGTCTTTTTTATTTTCTTTCTTTTTTAGTTTGTATATTTTGATTTTTGTTTTTGTTGTTGCTTTTCATTTCTTTTAAAAGAGAAATAACAGGAAGTTGGATGGGTAGGGAGGTGGGGAGGATCTGGGTGGAGTTGAAAGTACATGATAAAAAAATATTGTCTGAAAAAAATAGTAAAAATGTTTGTGTTTTCAGACAGAGTCACAGGTATCCCAAACTGGCCTTGTGACTGAGGCTGGTTTTGAACTTCTGACTCTTCTGCCTTCATACGTGTAGCTGGCTGGGATTACAGTCATGTAACCCAGCTCATTTTCCGATATTTTTGTGCGGCACTCCCTCTTTCATGTGGAAGAAGAATCAGTAAACTCATGTCATTCTAAGCGTTCTAATGAAGAGGACAGTCTGGTGAACATTTTCACGCTTCCAAGGGTGAATGCTAGCTCTGTGAAGACAGAAAGGAGAGATGATGCATTGCTCTTCCTGCTTCTCATTTATGGTATGGGGTGCTGTAGTTCCAGCCACCGACCGGAAGGCAGCTTAGATATATGTATTTTCTTTATCCCTCAAGAGAAAAGAAAAATAAAACTCTTCTGTTTTAGGTAAGATGGAAAGAATGAGAAGTTATGGCTCCTTGTATGTATTTGCAAGTTCCATCTTTCTTACTTTAATGATTGACAGGAACTGATAAACTGGGACATCAGCCTTAGGAGGGGTGAATGCGTGCTCTTGGTGGCCCCGTTGCTAATTTGTTTGACTATTTAGCATGATTCCTTACTCTGTAATGGAAAGGTTTATTAAATATGAGGGTTCCAAAGCTTTCTGAATACTAATGAACTTATTTGCCAAAATTTAAATGTTCTTCTTGTCAGTGAATGACTGTCTCACTTAACAGGAACCAAATTGAATAATGAAGAAAATTAGACTCTATCAAACCTCAAGAGAAATTGTGTGTGAACTGTAATAGGAAACTGAGGGAGAAAGGGGTCATATTTTAGAAAAAACACTACATAATTTAGATTATTTTTAAAAAGGATGAACTTAAAGAAGCTCAGGTCTTTGCAAAGAAACACACATTCAGTCAATTAACTGGAAATGCTGGTTTCCCCTTACCCAGCAGCCTGGTCTACACTGAAGAGAGAGTAGAGCAGGTGGAACATGCACACCAGTTTTCTGTGCTTACAATCCACTAAACTTATTCTCCTGTATGGACTTTTTATACCTGTGATAGAAAGGAAAAACCAATAACCTTGAAAAATGAGCACTATCCTCCGGAGAAGTTCAATAAAGAGATAGATTTGGGAAATTGCTGCAATTCCTCCTATAAGCATAGCGTGATGAGTCTACCCTCTCAGTGGTGTTTAATTCCATCATCTTGGTGGTGTGGCTAACGAAGGACATGACCATGATGCTCTTCCTTTGCTAGCATTCTGGGGCATTGTGGGAACAACATGGTTGCCCTCTTGACTAGGGCAACAGTGGGGGAAATTCAGCAACCATCCCAACTGCAAAGCATGGTGGAGTGAAATCACAGCTAAGGGGATGTGAATGCATATAGAAAAGCGGCAAGGAACAAAGATGGAAAATTGGGCATTTTGTCTCTGGTACAAATCTGAGAAAGAATGAGGGAACTAGGATCTTGAGGAAAAGAAAATAATCAAGAGGAAAATGATGAATGTCTCCAGTTTTAAAAGGAACTCCATGAGGTTTAAGAAAAATAAAAAAAGGTAAAGAGGAAGGAAAGGGCCTTGGAAACCATGGTGTTTTTAAAACAAAATAAAACATGCAAGAATGGGAAGCTAAATGCTGCTCCACAAAAACAATGGACAAGAAAAGCAGTCTTGAGTACAGAGAGGTTTGGATTTGGGGTTTGTTTTCAATCCAGAAGAAGAAAGGATGACAGCAGAAGCGTATTTCGCACATCAAGCTGGGCTTCATTTCCAAAGAAGAAAACAATGGTTAATTTATCTCAGTGTAATACTTTTTCGTACTATTTTATCTTACGATCCTTTTCCTTTTTCTGCCCCTGATGAGATTTAAAAAGCTAGACCTTGATTGCTTCCGAGGGAGAGGGGGAAGGATTTTGAGTCGAGGGAGAGGGGGAAGGATTTTGAGTTATAAATCTTGACCTCCCCAAACAATAATAATTTGATTTCAACAAGTAAGTAAACAAACAAGGGAAAGGAGAGATTTATCTCTTCCATTTCAACTTCTAGTCTGGTCTGTTGGAAGTAAAGAATTTAGTAAGAAGGGATGGAAGCAGAGAAACAAGACAATGGAGCAGACGAGAAGGCTGCACACCCAGTAAG